TACACAGATGTGAGACCCTCACTAATCAAAACGATCATTTCTCTTTCCTTGGGGAAGAATAAGTAAAAAGACAGAGTAACCAGAAGTTTCCATTCAAAACTGTGTGGGAGAGATGCAGAATATGAATGCCCCTTCTCCATTGCCACTATATTATATAAAAAAATTATACAGTACACGAAGGGTATACATTAAGGGTTTTTAAAACTATTTTTTTCCAGTTGAACATACAAATGAACACTTGGTATTCACAAGGGCTACAGCCCTAAAATAATTAAAATTTTTTTTTTTTTTTCCCTTTTTTGTCTTTTTTACTGACCGGTAACGGGATCGCAACCCTCGGTGTTGTGCCCACATCGCACTCAGCCAGTGAGCGGGAACCGGTCTCCACATGGGATCCGAACCCTCGACGGGAGCGCCGCCACGCTCCCAAGCGGCGCACTCTCCAGTGCGCCACCGGGCCGGCCCAAATAATTAAAATTTCTAAATGTGGTTCTTGTTCATACTTTCCTCCATAACATGCATATATGACAAGGACAAAAAGAGCTGAGAATATGATGCGGGTGGTTGGGTAGGCTCATTCACAAGAACATTCTTGAGCTTAGAAATGCTTTAGAAAAACTGTAAATCACCCACATGTCAAACATCTCCTGACCTACCCAAAGTATGTAATCCTTTGAATGTTAAACTGTGAAATGTGAGTGGTCTGTTTAACTTCAGAAAATGTATTTGCAATATTGCAACTAGATTGATTTTTAATAAAATCAATTTTAAATATAAAAACATTATATTTAGGTGGATGTGAAAATATTTTGTCAGCCTGACTCTTAATTTGATAAAAGATTGATTATATAAAACAAACGTATGCTGTTACAGTCCAATCATATTATTTTTCACTGGATTTATATCTTCACATGTTATTTATTAATAAATTTTTCTTGATAGTGTTATTTGCCAATTAGTTTTCTAAAATGTTTACCCCTTTGCATTTTTTACTAAAAAAGTTGAAAGTAAAAAAAACTACAAGTTCCATAATTATTTTATGAGGGGAAGTTTTGATTCAAACCTTAATACATGCATCATAAAAAATCCTTACTTCCATTTTAGAAAAAATGCAGGCTGCATATCAACTCAGAGGTGTTTCAACTTTAGATAACTACATGTCATCAAACCTATCACAAAACCACCACGTAAGCCAGCATGTGGCATAAAATATTGTGATCAAAATTAAATATTATAAGAAAAGAGAACAAGATTATAAGACCGAGAGTTTCACCTGTATTTTCTCAGTATTGTATTAAGTGAGTTTTTTTTTTAATTCCTTATATATGCAACATCTCAGAAATATAAAAAAATCAAAATAGTAGTATAAATTCTGCTCACATTGTTAATATATGACTCTTATGTAATAAAGAAATTGTCTGGTCTTTGTCCCAGATATCTAGGAGGCAAACTCCAAACCCTTGGAATTTTCCAAGTGGTGGGAATGTCTTTGTTATTCATGGGGGACTCCTCATACCCCCCTGAGTTTATGGTAACTATGATTATGGTAATGTTTATGATTACTAAGGGTGGGGGATAGGTATGCTTGAAAGATAAACCGTGATTTAAAGGGTGGAGGCTTTCAGTCATGTGATATCACCCTGACCTTCCAACCTCTTGCACGGGAAGGAGGCCGGAGATTAAGTTCAACCCTGTAGCCAATAATCCAACTAATTGTGCCTACATAATGAAAATCCAATGGAAACTCTGAACACCAAAGCTCAGATGAGATTTAAGGTTGGTTATACACATCAATGTGCTTAGAGGGTGACTGGTCCTGAGGATGTAGAAACTTCATGTTTGGGACCCACCCCCTCCAGACATCACCCCATGAGTCTCTTCACTTGGCTAGTCCTGATTTGCATTCCTTATAATACAGCTGAGATCATAAGTATTTTGCTTTCCTAACTTCTGTGAGTTACTCTAGAGAATTATCAAAACTGAGGGGGCCAAAGTACCTCCAGATTTGTAGCCTAATGGTCAGAGTACAGATGGCCTGGGAACCCGAGACCTTGCACATGGTGTCTGAGGGGAGTCTTACAAAGAATTGTGTTTTAAACCTGTGAAGTCCATGCTAAACCCAGATAATTAGTGTGAGAACTGCACTGTAGTAGTATTTTAGCAAAATTTTTATTTTTTCAAATTTCTCTTGGCTAATTCCAAGAAAAGTAAATAAATAAAAAAGAGAAGGTTGTTGTTGTTTATCATATATACATAGGCAATGAGTTACTTCTTTTATCATCATCATCATCAAGTCATTTTCCTGCTAACCTTAGTCAATCATGCAACTGCCTCACTTTTGCTGTCTGTTGCACTTTGCTGGTAATGTGTGCATTTGTGTGCAAATGTGTTCAGTGATAAATTCATGCCTGAGAATATTAGGTAAAAAATTTAGTTCATTCTTAAACCTTTAAAAAAAATAACTTATTCTTAATACTAATTAGGATCTATAAAGTCACACATCTGAAGAAGTTCATGTATGATAATTATTTAAGAAAAGGCTTAATATGAGATAATTGTGCATCAGAAGATAAATACAAGTATGTGAGACTGATGAGATCTGATTCTCAGATAACAAGTGGCAAAACACAAACTTTGTAATCAGATTTTACCAATTTAATTCATAAAACGTATGAGAGGTGCTAGGAAATATGCATGACACACAAAGACTAATATACAGTCTCAAGAAACATAAATGTCAAGAAAATGAAAGAACATATTATATAAAAGGAGCAATGTAATCTCAAATTTGAGTATATCGTAGAGACACAAGCACAGAACTGCATGGTTCTCATTGCCTGCAGCATTTCTCTGTCTGATTTATCTGGCTATATTTTACTAATTTGTTTAGATATAAATAAATAAATGAATTAAATTTTTTTGCAGGTAGCCTATTTTTTTCCCCTCCCAAATTTTGGAAAAATGTTACTTCTTCTTCTCCTATAACACCTAACCCTACCTGCAGTGCTACTTATGTACAGATATTATAGATATAATTAGATTAAGTGATTACATTTTGGCACCTACATGTTGATTTGAAACTGTGTTGTTATTTTTAATGACAGAGATCTTATCTTTTGTTCCTAACAACAAACATGGTGATTGAAATACTGTGGGTAAGTTTGAAAATCACATGCTAAACTGAACTGTTACAAGAGACATCTGGTCAGGGCACTAGGAGAGCCTTCATGGTAGAGATGGCATTTGATATCAAACTTGAAGGACTGTAACAGGCTGTTTAAAATGAAAGTTCCAAAAGACATAATATTACAAAGATAGACAGAGATCATGGGTCACAAATAACAATAAAATGTTATGTAGGTATTTTACTGCCCAACACATTCCATGGTCATGCCCACGTAAAAATATGTTTTTATTTGCTGACAGCCAGAGACAGATCCCTGAATCACTTAAAGCAATAAAATCAAAGTAAAGACGTGGTAGACATTTTGAATGGCCTACCCGCTATCCATTTTCATTTTCTTACCTGATGAGTAAGAGTAGAATAGAGATGTTTAGGGAAGGAATGTATGCAGTTAAAAGAAAACTCCAATTTCCCTCTGCAGTAGGGATAAACAAGTGACAGAATTCAGGCTGAGACAGGAGTAATCTGCTGTTGGGGCAGGGGGAACTCACAGAAAATTATTACTTTTCTGTGTCACTTTTGACAAATCTATAATGTCTAAGTTTTTGTTCCTTGTTTGTAAAACAAGGGTAACAATAGAACTTAGATTCTAAGAATAGAACGTATAACAGAACTTACAGTTATAACAGAACTTATAATAGGACTTACAGCTATTATATACTATAGTATATATTAATAGGACTTATGTTCTAACAATAGAACTTAGCTAACAGTGCTATGAGGATACTTCAAAAAGGTCATGGAGGGCTGAGCCCGTGGCGCACTCGGGAGAGTGCGGCGCTGGGAGCACAGCAGCGCTCCTGCTGTGGGTTTGGATCCTATATAGGGATGGCCGGTGCGCTCACTGGCTGAGCGCGGTGCAGCCGGTCACAAAAAGGACAAAAAAAAAAAAAAGTCATGGAAAGATTTGTATCATCTTTCAATTCTATTCTTCCATGAAATTTTTGAAGTACTCTCATATTTTTGGGATTAAATTGAACATACATGTAAACACACACGGATAGTGGGGCACTGTATGTGCTCAGGAAATGTTAGCAATTGCGGTGATAACAATAACAAGGGAGATGTGGTAACACTGATCACTGCTCTTCCATTTGTGCAGTTTGATGTGCTAATGCTATGTAGAGTTGAAACAGAGCGTGTCACATGTCTGGAGGCAGATGACCTGCTAGGACAAAAGAAATAGTAATCGAGACCTAACTAACACTCATGGACAGTAGGAAGGATAGACTCTACAGGGGCATGTTGAAAGAAGAATCTTTATAACATAGATGCACTTGTGAAAGCTGGAGGTGCAAAAACATCAAAAAAGGACTGAATTGCAGTTGCCTACAATTCCAGATCTGGCTGCTTGTGAGTAGGATACTCTCTGCAGTTAAGGGCAAAGATTTTCTACAACTCTTAGGTAACAAAGAGCTGCAGATCTCAGACCTAATCGAGGCCCCAAATGCAGTGTGATTTTCCTAGATTGCTTACTCGTGGGCCATCCATTTTTAAGAGTTGAGAACTGTTTCCTAATCTCTGTCTCATTCTGACCTCACATGACTATTACGGGTTTCTGCTATCCACGGCCAGACTTAAACCTGCCACATATAAAGGCTACACTGCGTGACACTTCCAGTCTGGCCCTCCTGCCCACAGAGAACAGAGCTTTCTTGTTCCTCACCTGACTTTTGGTGGTTTTACTCTAGGACTTTGAACACTAGAGAAATTACTGCAGAGATAGAAGAGTTCTGCAATTGTTGTTGCTGTTTGTTTTGTTTTCTTAGTGCGCAGATTCTGATTCACAAAGACAAGGGAATCGGTGTCGTCTTACCTGAGAAACTTCCCAGTCTAGGTGCAGCCATGTCCCCGCCGTCGTAGATCTCAAGGGAGTCCCAATTTTGCTCCGTGGCAAAACCGATCACTTGAATCTACAAAACCATAATATCAAGTTAATGCTCATTTTTATTTTTGGTTTAATGCAAGTAGTTTAATCAGAAGGGTTTTTTCATAATTACAACCAAAGAAAATAAACCATAAAAGGACATCCAGAAATTTCTACAAATGGCACTTTTAATAGTTTATATTCTCAAAATCTATTATTTTAATTTCAAGTATAGAAACATGATTAGAAACATTTTGTAGAAATAGGAAAAGGAAACAGATTATGTCCTATGTATTTAAAATAATCAATACAAAAGAAAAAAGAGAGGAAGAGAGAAGGAAGGAAGGAAGGGAGGGAGGGTGGGTGGAAGGTTGGGAGGGGGAGAGAGAGAGAGCATGAGAGAGAAAATAAGGAAAGGAGAAAGAAAAAGAAAGACATTCTGTGGACCCCAGCTAAGCCCTGTCTGTAGACTCCAGGCTTTAGGATTTACCTGAATTCCAGATCCCTCTGTAACTATGATCTTCCATATACAGTTTAAGTTGTTACCGTATGGCTCAGGATAGCCAGGGGACAAAATTGTACCTCTCCGCTGAGTGAAATTGCCACTGCAAGGAACTAAAAGACAGAACCATATTTAATAAAAATCAAGTACAATGAGAACATTAATTTAGCATTTAGTTTTCTTTCACTGTGTGATCAAATTGTAAGAGAAATTGTATATGTACTATGATACTATAAATGGTATTTTTAGCCAAGGTAAAATTTAGTTTGTTCTCTTTTAAATTAGCAATCATTGATTATTATCTATTATGCTAGTAAATTACACATCTTGAGTTTAGTTCTCCAAGAAGAAAATGTAACTGCCAATGGCATCTCTGAAGTTATTTCTCTTTATAATAATTTATCTGCTGTAATTTAAGGGCCTTTGCAGAATATTCTCTTCTATATGCAGACATGCAACTCCAGATGATATTAGCGGGATTTATGAGCAAGTCCAGGGAGGAGAAGAGATGATTAAAATGTATAAATGAATTCAAGTGCTAATCATGATTGCACTGGAGCTTTCTACACAAAATGAAGCAAATAAACTATAACTAACAATGCATTGTTATTCAGGCTGCATTAACCTATCACTTTTCAAACATTCATCAGCACAAATTTATTAAAAGGACATTACACAAGTAATATAGCAAATCAACATTATAATGATTTTTCCCCAAAATGAAATTATGTTGTATATCATGACTTTAGAGTTGATGGCATACTCAATAAATATTGAGAAGGAAAACATGTTTGTTTTATCCTCGTTAATCTGATGAGTTGCTTTATGAAACATGATAATTTTTAGGGTTTGGCTGCTACTTAATTATTTCCAATAAAATAAATTGCTCTTTAACTAGGTCATGAGCATGATCTATTTATGTAGACTGGACAGAAGCACTAAGAAGGAAGCTCTTTAACATTGCTGGGAAGTTCTGATCCATAGCTGCATGCCAGTGATCGCACCTTACAGATAGCTGCTTACCTACACAGCCTGGGATTGTATCATTCCACTGAGCTAAAGCATTAGGCACGGACTGACAGCGGATGGCTGCGGAACCTTGAAGTAGGTATCCTGGGTTACACTCAAATCGAACGATCGAGCCTGCAGAAAACTCAGAACCAATTCTCCTTCCATATCTGGGCTCAGGAACAGAGCTACACTGGGTGTCGCTGGTACGAGGAACAGCTAGAGGCAAAACACACAACAGCCATCTGTATCTTCATCAGGAAGCCAAGACATTGCCTTGAAAATAGATTTAAGATGAGTTTAACGAGAGTTGATGCTGGTATAGAAATAAATAATATTTTTAACCACCCCAACAGAGAATGATGTGGGAAGCACTTTCACATTAACACTCCATCCTCATCTCAACCCTGAGGACCACCTCAGTGTTCTCATTTCAGATGAGGAAACAGGAGTAAGGAGAGAATTAGTACCTTATGAGGATTAATTGATATCCAGGGAATTAATATTAATTAAGCACCGAAATCATCATGCTAGTGAGAGATGACAAAGAACTTTACTTATTCTCAAGGACCTGAGAGTCTAGTGAAAAAAGCTGCTATGTAAAGAATCTGTTATAATATGGCCATTGTAATATAACAAAATTAAATTAGAGGTATTATATGATCCAGCAATCCCACTTCTTGATATTTATCAAAAGGAATTGAAACCACTACACCAAAGAGATGTCTGCACTCCCGTGTTCATTGCAGCATTATTCACAATAGCCAAGATGTAGAAACAACCTTCCACCAACGGATGAATGGATAAAGGAAATGTGGTAAGTAAATAAAACGAAATACTATTCAACCTTTAAAAAGAAGGATATACTGCTATTTGCAACAACATGGATAAACCCTGAAGACATTAAGCTGAGTGAAATAAGCCAGTTACAGAAGGACAAGTACTCCATTTATATGAAGGTATCTAAACTAAATGAACACATAGAAGCACAAAGTACAATGATACTTACCAGGGGCTGGGAGAGGGGAAAACGGGGAGTTGCTGTTTAATGGGTATAAAGTTTCAGTTACATGAAATGAATACATCTTAGAGATCTACTGTACAACATTATACCTGTAGTTAACAATACCATATTGTGCACTTAATAATTTAAGAGGGTAGATCTCATGTTACTTTAATAAAAAAATGATTAATGTACTACGGGAAACAGAATTATTCATTCTACCTGGAAAAACACGGTGGGAAAGGCAAGGAAAAGGTAGTTTTGACCCCACTGCTGGAAGCAGAGCTAGGAATAAAATCCAGCCCTTCACCCTGTTCCACAGGGTCCTGCCTTTAAACCAGCAACTCTTCGTGGCACTGGTGGGTTGGGGTAGAGAGATAGCACACTTCCCAAGGTGGTCATCCAACATTTAATGAGAAGATGCATAGTTTAAGAAGCCATGCCTAATACTGCAACTGTATACTTTGGGGGGGGGTGGAGAAAGAAAAGAAAAAAGAAAGATCAAGCAGCAAAGAGCCAAGTTCATTAAAGAATTTCAGCCCGTGAGGACACCATCTTATCATTCTGCCTAAATGCCTGAAGAAGTAAAAGAAAAGCTCTGTCATCTGTCACCTAGAGCTGCTGCCTGGCACTAGTGGGGAGACCATGTTGCTCTCCTGTTGACTGTGAACAATTTCCAGCACCACTGTCTGTTTACCCCTGATGGCAAACAGTATCAACAACAGAATGCAAACCACAACAAAGACTGAAAATTCCCCCTCCTGATGAACACGAGTGATAGTTCTGTACAAATTATGGTTTTAGCCCCAGTCTGTTCTACCTCATAGATAAAAATTAAGCTGTCCACTAACTTGATGCACCTCTTGACAGCACCTAATACAAAGTAAAATAACAATGTCTCTAATCCTCCCCCAAATGACCCAGCACATGCCCACATCCTCTAACAAGCCCCTCCTAGCTCTCTCTTCATGGGACTTTCCTAGGTTCTCCGTGGTGTGTGGTCTTCATTGTTGCAGGAAATAAGAACCCATGTTAATGTGATGACTTGCAGTGTGTAAGTCTTACAGTTTTTGTGTGTGTGTTATAGTTTTTGGTGAATACTGACAGGTGAGACTCAACGCAATGTTGTGGGGAGACAACTACTCAGGTTGAAAGTCAGACATTAGCACCTACAAGAGAAGGATTTTCTTGTTTACCTAAAGGGGCACGGGATAGAATTTGAAAAACACTTCAATTGGCAGAGAGGTCTGTGAGACTGAACTTTTTGAAAACAGTTATGCACTTTGAGATGTGCATGTTTGCTTTTGCCCCCTGCAGTTAAAAGACAGCGTGTGTGGTCTGTCTTCAGGATTGTGGTCTTCCCAGTCCCTTCATTTCTTCATTCAGAAGTGTGGTCCTTTGAGAGAACATGCTCATACGCTCATTTTCTTTAAAAATAATCCTTCTGCCTTCACATGTTTTCCTCACACACTGGCATTGTTTTTTTCCATTGAATCTGAACAATGACAGGCAGTATTTGTGTATAGGCTGCTAAAGAAGCTATTCTATAAGAATGGAAGTCAAAAGATTATTTTGATTAAACTATGTTTCAATTAAATGTTAACATATTTTCTATCAGGAGGTGAAAGTTAAAAAAATTGTATGGCATCTAATGACTATAGTTGAAAACAATGACATAGAATCAATCATTTTCAGAGCTAAATGCAAAATATAAAATAAATAAAATATTCTATTATTATAAAATATTGCGTAAAAATTAAATTTGCCATATTTGTACATCTGAGTGTTAGACTGCAGTTGAATAATGGCATGAAGGGGAAAAAAAAAAACATACCCCATGGAAGCTTACACTGTTATCCAAAGGAATTTTTACAAAAATTAACATTTCCTATGGTAATTTTTCTACATATGTTGAATTATTTGAAAAGTACCCTTTACTTGCGGCAAATGTTCCACTTATCTAAGAGGCCTCATCTCATTTGTATATTTCTAGGGTATCACTGTCATTCCAGATTCCAAAAATGAGTAGAAACACAGCATTAATTGTCATTTAGGCAGAAGTCACTATTAAAACTTTCTTCATGAACTTCATAGTTGTCTATTTTTAGGATAATATCAATAAATGAATAACACCTGCATTTCGATAAAATTATGAAGAAAGTTTTTTAGAGGAAGAAGTTTTAGGAAGCAGAGAGAAGAAACAATTTTTTTTTCCTTTTTGTCTTTTTTCGTGAGAGAGAAGAAACAATTTTTTTTTTCCTTTTTGTCTTTTTTCGTGACTGGCAACGGGATCGCAACCCTCAGTGTTGCGCAGAGAGAAGAAACAATTTTTTTTTCCTTTTTGTCTTTTTTCGTGACCGGCAACGGGATCGCAACCCTCAGTGTTGCGCCCGTACCTCGCTCAGCCAGTGAGCGGCTGGTCTGTATGTGGGATCCGAACCCTCGGCGGGAGCACCGCCGCACTCCCAAGTGGTGCACTGTAGCAGTGCGCCACCTGGCCGGCCCGGAGAAGAAACAATTTTAAGTATTTGAGAAAGTGGGACAGAGGGAAGCTACAAAATTGAGACATCAAACTTCCACGTGATGTCTGAGAAAAAAATCAAACAATGTTCTCTAAGTGTTCCCTCTCCCCCACGCTCTGGTTCCCGCCCTTCACCTGGACATTTCAGGCAGCGACAGAGAGAAATTCTATACTCCACTGTAATTACTCTCTGTCTTTTAGTAAGTGTTTCACACTGCTTTGAAACAGAAATGAAATCAGCCCAGTGGAAACGTGAGCAGGGAATCAGATCAGCCTGGAATAGACTGTGATAAACAAAATGATTGACTTCTCAGGCCAGACCCCTGTGCTGCTACCGACACTGATGCTCTTCCCTGGGGCTTCCATAGCACAGAAAGTGGTCAGTCCTGTGAACGCGTGCACACCTTGCAGGGGAAAAACCAGAGACATAATGTGATATATTCATTAATCAGCCTTTATCACCACGCATGTGCTAAACCACAGACACATGCTGGCAGTTTTTTTTATTGCACCTCTGTTAGAGTAGACATAGTAAAGACAACAATCACAACAATGAAATAAATCTGAATTCATGTAGGAAAAACGTGCAATATCTATGTAAGGCAGTTTTCTGTTTCATCTAGTGGCTAAGGGGCATTTACTATTTCTCAAAATCATTCCCCTCTAGTAATTGAAAAAATCTGACTTGACAAGCCATTACTAGACATTGAATTCAACATATACCCCTGAATTACACACAAAATTTTATGCTCAATCTTCTATGTAAAATGTATGAATTTCATAAGCTCTTGAAAAAAATGTGAGTTTTTTAGAAGTGTAAAACAAATTAAGCCTTATAATTCATGCCATCTAAAAGAAGACACAGCCCAGGAAAAAAATCAACAAAAATATACATTTGCAATTCTAGGAAAGACTTCAAACAAAGAAAATCTCAGTGTGCATTCTTTTTAACGAAACTTAGAAAAAGCTTTTCCTTGTTTCTACCTCTGCTCATGTTTAAGAAGGCCTTTCAATTAACTATATTAACATGAATGCTGAAAAGAGTGAGTCTTGTTAATAGGAAGACCCTGGAAGAGGAAGACTTGAGCTGGTGAGTCTGGAAGAGTGGACAGTGGGGAGGCAGGACGCTGTTTCAGGTGTGGCTGGGGTGGGCGGGGGGACAAGATGCCATTTCAGGTGAGGACACTGGGAGAGAATCTAGGTGAGTCAGTGACCCAGCAACACTACTTGGAAACACAGAGACACAGCCAGTCTATGTTTATAAGATGTGTGCTCTGGGGTGGTATGATAAAAAATCATGACTTCCTTTTCCCCTTTAAATTTACAGTAAATCCTTATATTTTACTAATTTTGGTATGGGTGAGTTATTTTTGAGAGAACTGAAAGAGGTGTTGAGTTGTACATGGAAACACAACGAAAAATAGATCATATGTGGAAACATCCAGGCATAAATATTACAAGTATATTGATGATATACTCTTAACTACCAAGCTTTACTTGGACACAGTCAGTCATGTTCAGCAGACAAAGGGGAAAAAGACACGGCAGTGTAGATGGCTTTAACAACCCTGCCATACATCAGCACGTGCTGCAGAGTGAGCCGGAAAGGAGAGAAGGATGCATGCTCTGCCTTGGCTGGCCTCTCTTGGCAGGTTGACTGATCCTAGTGTTGATTCTAATGTTGAAAGGCATGTATTTTGGGCCAAAACAAAGTCCAAATACAATGTAGTTATTTCATAGAATAGAATCAAAGGTTTCTTCTAATATTGGAAGAAACAGACTACACTGGATTTATTAAGAAATAGTATGTGTGACTTTTGACTTTCACACTGACTTAAGAATACACTGACTTTCTGTGCAATGTATGTTCTGTGGAATGGCAAAGATCAGCAGACCTGTATAACCACATCTAGCCATCGCAGGTTCTGCTGGTCTCCAGTTAGCAGGAGAAGGGTCAGGGTGCTCAGGAGTAGAGGGGAGGCTACTGGAATCTCTCCACTGTGAACACTCAGGGAATTCCTGGGAGCTAGGAAACAGGTAAAGAAAACTTTCTACTTGATGCCTAAAAGAAAATGCACAAAACTGAACATTTTTGATGTTTAAAAGGAAGAACTTTATACCTCCTCTGTCTTCAGGGAAGTTTGCTTATGCAGGAAGAAAATATGACCATGGTTCAGAACTGAAACATTAAAACTATTGTAGTCACTTTCACACTTCAGGAGGAGAAAAATTAGATTTCTTTTCGTGATAGATTCTTACATAGCTTTTGCTTCTAAATTCTACCTGAGTGTGGCGTAGTTGAGGAGAGTGGCTGCTGATTCAGAGATGGATAAGGGTAGGGCTTGATGGCTGAGCCACAGCTGTAAAAGGTGCCCAATTATCACTGAAATATGTTTGTGACACAAGGTCACCCACTTACCTCAGTCTCCACACTACTGCTTACATAACCGGAGACATGCGAACTGTGCATGCGCCATTCCTGGCAGAGTGATAATGTCCACAAGCATTCATTAAACAGCCAAACAACAGCCCAGCAAAGCTCTTCGTGAGTGCGGACTCATCATCGCTAAGTCCATGTGGAAGAGCCATCAGCAATTTAGCAGGAAGGGTCACTGCTATCAGCCTTTCTGGGGTGCCCCTGTCCTCACTCTCCTTCTTTCTTCCCTCACACGTTTCAAATTCACACTATACTCTCAAGTAGCATGGAAAGCCAACAAACAAAAAACAGCAAATACACAGGCTAATTAGGATACTTCGTAAAAACCCTCTCCTTCCATTTCCTCCCAAGTGCAGAAAGATGGTAACATCATGGTTACTAATGGCTCCACATTATTAGCTAGGATAACATGAAGCAGGGGCAGAGCAGAAGGCTAGAGACAGCGATCTTTGCATATCTGGAGTCGTATAGACATCTGTGCGCCCGGACACTGATACACTTAGGTTAAATTCACCGCACTTCTGTAAACGATGAAAGCATAGCAGGAGCACGAGTAAAGGCTCGGTCATCGATGAGGAACGGAGGTAAATAAACCGTGCTCCATTCATCCACCAGAATACTGTTCAGAACTAAAGTAATGACATTTGTGCATGTTTACATTTTTTGACAGTAGCACAGACCTCTATGTGTGATTTTAAGTGAAAGCATGGGATAAAAAATAAGCTGTGANACAGGTAAAGAAAACTTTCTACTTGATGCCTAAAAGAAAATGCACAAAACTGAACATTTTTGATGTTTAAAAGGAAGAACTTTATACCTCCTCTGTCTTCAGGGAAGTTTGCTTATGCAGGAAGAAAATATGACCATGGTTCAGAACTGAAACATTAAAACTATTGTAGTCACTTTCACACTTCAGGAGGAGAAAAATTAGATTTCTTTTCGTGATAGATTCTTACATAGCTTTTGCTTCTAAATTCTACCTGACTGTGGCGTAGTTGAGGAGAGTGGCTGCTGATTCAGAGATGGATAAGGGTAGGGCTTGATGGCTGAGCCACAGCTGTAAAAGGTGCCCAATTATCACTGAAATATGTTTGTGACACAAGGTCACCCACTTACCTCAGTCTCCACACTACTGCTTACATAACCGGAGACATGCGAACTGTGCATGCGCCATTCCTGGCAGAGTGATAATGTCCACAAGCATTCATTAAACAGCCAAACAACAGCCCAGCAAAGCTCTTCGTGAGTGCGGACTCATCATCGCTAAGTCCATGTGGAAGAGCCATCAGCAATTTAGCAGGAAGGGTCACTGCTATCAGCCTTTCTGGGGTGCCCCTGTCCTCACTCCCCTTCTTTCTTCCCTCACACGTTTCAAATTCACACTATACTCTCAAGTAGCATGGAAAGCCAACAAACAAAAAACAGCAAATACACAGGCTAATTAGGATACTTCGTAAAAACCCTCTCCTTCCATTTCCTCCCAAGTGCAGAAAGATGGTAACATCATGGTTACTAATGGCTCCACATTATTAGCTAGGATAACATGAAGCAGGGGCAGAGCAGAAGGCTAGAGACAGCGATCTTTGCATATCTGGAGTCGTATAGACATCTGTGCGCCCGGACACTGATACACTTATTTTTCATTGACGTCTCCAGCAGCTCATTATAACAGAGCTATCTGTTTGTTAACGAGGTTAGAAGTCCTCTAACCACAGAAGTCACAATGTCCCTATGCAATTTTAAGCTTTAATAACTTATGAGAGAATGAAGCTATAAGAGGCGTATGAAAGCACTATTCAGAAAATTTTTACACAATAGAGTTCAAATAATTTCTAGGCTTCAGTATAACTACTGCCTTTCAAAAAGCAATGTTCAATTTAATTTTTCATATGTACTGAAAACTTTCCCTGTTGCTAATGAATGATTTATCAATTGCATTTGTGATTGTAGTTCTTTACCTCCAAAGCATTTAGTTTTAATAAGATAGTTTTTGCATAAACTTACTGGTGGGAACAAAGCAGGACAAGGAGGCACACTGGAATATTGAGCATGGTGGAGACATTACACATGCTTACGTACAAGGAAAATATCTTCTAACAATGATTTCCTTTTCATTTTAATTTTCTGTATTTTATACAGTTGAATGATAATTGAACTGTATTGCTTTAGCTAAACAAACTTTTTTTTTAACTAAAGAAACATAATTTTTTAAAACAAATTTCTGAGGATAACTTTTGAAGAAAGAATATTCATTGGGCCATTTGCAAGAGTATTTTACCTGATTGATTTTCTAATATTTATCAAAAATCAAAAGAAGCCTCTTATAAAGGCACACAATGCCAGTAACTTGAATTTTTCCAGGAAGAAAAATGTACTTAAACCAAGCAGTCCATTTTTTAATATGTCACACCAACATTCAGTTTATGAATCTGCTTACACAGAGAAATTTAAAATTTAATTGAAGAAAATTAGAAGTGGTAAGAAACAATTTGCTTAAACTTGTCATTCTCCGATGAAGTTTTGTTTTTAAAATACTTGCTAATTACTTACATTTTAACAGAAGATGTAACATAACAATATAACTACTTTTTTTTTTTTTTTTAAAGATGACCGGTAAGGGGATCTTAACCCTTGACTTGGTGTTGTCAGCACCACGCTCACCCAGTGAACAAACCGGCCATCCCTATATGGGATCTGAACCCGTGGCCTTGGTGTTGTTACCAGCACCACACTCTCCCGAGTGAGCCACGGGCCGGCCCCACAATATAACTACTTTTAATTCAACATCATCATCATTCAATTAATTGCTGTCACACGAGGTTAGAGAAATTTTCTAATCATCATATTCACTGTCTAGTATCATCATCACTCTCTTTCTACTGTTTAAATCACGTTATTGTTGAACACTGGAGGGTTTTTATAGTGCAGTATTTCAAGGGCATGGATTTTGCAGTGTGAAATTATTAGAAATGACTTACAAATGACATGAGACTGTTATTCTCCATATTTTTTTCACAATTTTTTGAAAAACATAATATTGCCAAGAGTGTTATCTAGAGAAGTCTTCATTAAAGGAAAGAAACTATTGCTAAGAAATGTTTTCCCTCCAATTCTGAACAAAACGTTTGAGTGGCCTATAGTCTCTCTAGCCCGTAGCAAAATTGAGACCCAGAAAAAATAAGTATTGCTTCTTATTTTTGAACACACAGTTTATCTCTGAAGATGATGATTTCTTTTAGATATCAATATATACACTCATTACAAGTTACACCTAAGGATTTGCTCTGTGCTTGTGAAAGTGTATGAACTAAGTGGTATTTTTTTTTAAATTCATGAAATAAATATGCAGAAAAAAGATGAAATATAGTAGGAAAAGATTCTTCACTTTTCAGAACCTTTGAACAAGTGCAAACATTTTAAATAAGCTTTGAACTCAAAAATTAGCACAGAGGTGTAGAGATGCCAGAAGTTAATCAATCACAAACAAAACAAAGTAGCATTTAGTTAGGGGAACAGGTCCATGAGGGATATTTTATATTTTGTTTGCTTAGTTTTGTTAAATTGTCTTTCAAATTAACTGTTTTTACAATAAGATATGGAATTGTATAATGTATTTTAAATGTATTTCACTAAACAGTCACTAAGATCTAAACTATTATGAAATTGTTTACTTAATTAGATAAAATACTATATTTGAAGTCATTTTGCAAAATGTGAAGAGCCATACAAAGATAACTTAATCAATACTTGTTTCCTTACAGTGACTGATAAAATATATATTATTGTGTATTTCTAGTAGAAATATCATAGTCAAGCATCAAAAGATTAATTGTAATATTTTTATTAAATAATTTTATTATAATTATATGAATACCATCAATTCCTTAAATGTCATAGAAATGCAACTCACATACTCCCACTGCTTTGTCTGAAGGTGGTGTACGCGCAGGCTTAGAACAGCAGAGTAAAGCGCAGCAGGACATTTACCTTGATAAACGAAGTGGAAGCCCCTGGCAGAGGCACCGCTCTTTGCACTGAATCGGAGCAGAATTTGATTTGACGTCGCCAAAGGCAATGTTTCACCTAGAAATAAAAACATAATACATGGGATCCAGAAAATGCATAGCACTGTGGTGGACAATAGCATTTTGGAAAATAATTATTAACTTGAAATTTCACATTACATTTTTGAACTTTAAAGAAAAATTCGCTTTGGGGTTTAAGACCAAACTTGTTGTTTCTATAAAGATTTTAAAACTCTGTTGTTTCCTGTGCAGTCTACTCCAATGTTACTGTGATCATTTCACTTATGCTTTTGAAGAAAGCACCAATAATAGTAGCCTTATTACCTGATAATAAGTTATATATAAAGATATAGATAATGTAAGTAAAAAAAAAAAAAAAAGCATTGGGTGAATCATTTACTTGGAGTCACCGTAATTTGTTAATTACTTGCTAGAATTTTACTTAAAATTAAGGACATGTTTCTGAATCCAAAGCTGATTTTTAAAAAATTAAGGGATTTGGAAAAAGCCTGGTGAAATATATTTTTAACCCTTTAAAGTACACATACAATACAAGAAAAAGTCTGTCTAGAGCACTGCTGAGGGGCCTGTGAATCCGCATATGCTTTTTGGAGGGAGGAGACTTTGTTACTATGTATGGACATCTTAAATGTGTGTCTTTTGCTGCATCCCCAGATATTACATCATCTGGCATTGGTAGAAAATAACAAAACATAGGTCTTAAGGTTTGGGGTTAATAATGAAATAGGGAAAAACTAGAAATAACCAAATATTGACTTTTGTTGGCCAAAGCGGGTGATGCACAT